GGTGTCAAATGTGACTAATAGCTTCTACTCTGCCTTTAATTATCCACATTTGTAATTAATTTGCAGGAAATTCAATTAAATCGTGCAGACAGCGCAGCCATGTGGTACAGTACCACAGTACACCAGTTTGATTTTAGGCCAAAACATACCATCATCATCATCATCTTCATTACCATCAGCAATGTCATCATGTGAACACCATATAACTCCATTATTATTGATTTTCATGATACAACTTGGAGAAATTCTACAATCTTCAGGCTAATTAACTTTTCAGAACAGAAACAATTAATCATCAATTAATAATCAGTTGGTTGATCAACAGAAAAACAGATTTTCAGCTTTTGGACTCTTGGTCGGACAAAACAAGCATTTTATAGATTAATCGATAATGAAAATAATTGTACATTTATCATAGATGTTTAAAGGAGCAGTGTGTAGGATTTAGTAGCATCTAGCAGCTCGCTTCAACCTACCCTTCGCGGCCACCGTAGTTTCTCCTACACACTTAGAAGGCAAGCTGTATTCAGTTGGTTACACTCTGCAACTTCGCCACTAGATGGCTTAGTTTTTTAGTCTGTAAATTCTTACTGGAAAGTAACCAATAACTATAGCTGACTGATAAATCAAGTGGAGTAAAGAGTACAATATTTCCCTCTGAAGTGTAGTAGCAGTCAAGTAAAGTGCAAGTGCCTCAAACTTACTTGGTAAAGTACTTGTACATGTATTTTCCACCACTGGTACAAATAAATGTAGTAAACTTGTAAAAAAGTTGAGCATAAAATACAATTACCATCATCATGCCATAATTTTCATCGTCATGTCAGCAGTGCCAAAATAGTTGTTTATAAATCTTGTTCACCAAAATGTGATTACTCCCTCAATTTCCCATATTTATGTGTTCCAGTGTGAGGGTTTTAAAAATGCCCCAAGTTAGATCCAGTGCGAGATAAAGTTCTGGCAGCAGCTGTTTGGAGATGACCTGGTCTCTAACTTCCCCTTATTTTCCCTTTTAATTAGCGAGTCCACGTGGTCTGGGGTCGCAACCTTTTCCAAGAATGCCTTGCTACAAATCACCACAGCTTGGGCTCTGTCTTACAGTCAGTGGGTCCGGTCAGGAAAAACAACATACCAGCAGCTAATTTGTTGCCCCGTGAAAAATGAATGGGAGCCTATTAGCCTGGAAGATGCCGGTTCAAATCCATTTCTACACAAACGCGGGTGTTCAGGTCACATCTCGGACCTCCACGGTGTCTGGGGGAACCTTGTAAATCACTTACAGATAATCAGACAAAAAGGAATTTGTTCCTCAGGGTTCATGTAGCTTGTCAGATACATTCCCATATCTGACTTCATCAGGAAATAAGTCAAAGTTGAGACATTACTCAGGGAGTCACGAGGTTTCAGACATTTTTTATTCCTCTGTCATACACATGTTTCATTCTCAGGCTAATCCCCCAAATAGGTTTCATGTTTTAACTGCTTTTTGATATTTTTGTTAGTTACAAGGATCTCTTTATTCACCTACTGCCTTTAAAACCATTTATTTCTGTATGTATTTATGTGATTTCTCTTACACCTTAAAATAAAAAGTTACGAGCTACTTAACAGGTGCACTCAATAACTAAATAAATAATACATAAATAAATAAATCATTTTAAAAAATCTATGTAAAAATAAAATCTATACAAATATATTTGTAAAAAAATCTTTATTAGAAAATAGATTAAAAAAAACATTTACAACAAGTGAAACACGGAGAAATAATTAGTCAGTGAATAAATAAGTCGAGTTGACAGAAAACTTAACTACCATGTCTTATGAAGATGATGAATTAATTGTTTTTAAGTAATTTTTCAAGCAAAAATACCAAACAATCCCTAGTTTCAGCTTCTAATTTACTATTTACTGACATTTTATAGACCAACCATCATAATTGAGAAAATAATAATTCAAATAATCAGACTAATACGTGGCAGCCAATGCTGGTGGGTTTTATATACAGCCTATATACTGATAGTGATATCTTTACCTGTTTATCTGTGCTGTTGTTCAGTATTTCTAAGGAATTAAAAATCCTCCTATAAACCAGGACAAATAAGCCTGAAGCGGCATTATTACACCACCATGTGGTGCTAAAACTCTTTATTACTGTGAAACCAGACTAATAAAATGCTTTTAGCTGGCAGCTCTTTAAGGTACCGCATCACCACAGGTTAATAACACAATAATTTTAAGTATTTAAAATAATAATAATAATAATAATAATAAAACTAATTTCTTCAGACTACTTTTCATGTTGACCAATGGTAGAGGTAGCTACTGTAACTGTACAATCATACTTCTTTACCTCATATTTACCAACCTAACTCATGTATAACATTAGTTACAAGCAACCAAATGAATAAGGACAGTTTAGGACACAGCTTGTTTGGATTTCCATCTTAAAGGAGAGGTTCACAATTTCTAAAAGTCTACCTAAAAACAATATTCAGGCGCCCATATGAACACTCTATCCTCGCTTCAATCATTCTTGGCATCATACTGGCCTAATGGATCTCTTCCTGAGGCACTTTCAATGTAAGTGAAAATCTGCATTCCTTGTTTAGTGCAAAGATTTATTCAGAAGTTTATCTGGAGCTGATGTGAGCTGTCAGCCATCTGAGGTAGTCAAATGAAGCTGTTATCTTCCAGTGTCACAGTCTTTTTGTTCCTATCCCTCTATGCAGCTCAACATGGGAACACAAAGAGGGAATTTCATGCAAAAAAAGAATACAATATTGGAAGATATCCATCTGATGTGACTAACTCAGACTACTGAAGCCTCATATTAAATATTTACGCACAGAACAGGACGGTGGATTTTGCCCCCAGTGCATTGGAAGTGAAGATCAGTACAACTGGAGGAATGGTTCCGAAAGTATTCCTGTGAGCAGAGAAGTGACCTAATTTGGGCTGTTAAAATCTATAGTCTCAAATGCACCTTACACATCATTTACACTGATAAAATATGTATTTCTTTACATTAGAAACACTTGAAGAAGACACCGAGTGCTGCTGGATGAGTGCATCCATGGGTCCAGTCGGTCCATCCCCTTGTTTTGCAGCAGCAGAGGTTGTTTGTTCTGCGAGTGTGTGCTGACTCAGCCTGGTAGACGGAGCCAAAGCCAGGCTTTACTCCACCGCAGTAAACTGATGTCTGCCTGCAGAGAAACACTAAACCCAGACTGACACACCGCAGCACTCTGCTGGGCTGCAGGCAGACACATAGATAGATAGATAGATAGATATGATAGATAGATTAGATAGATAGATAGATAGATAGAGATTAAGATAGTATAGATTAAGATCTCTTTATGTGTCTAATGGTGCATTAGCAGTGTTGTGTGCAGTAACGCACGTGTTGCTTCCTTCCTCATTAGTGACCCACTCCCGAATTCCAGCAGCAGAGCCCTTTCACCAACAACATCTATGTATGAGTCACTATTGGCTTCTACCCTCCGGAGGGAAATCAGACTCAGTGATGCGACTGAAAGTACGGATGAATGTGCAGTCAAAGCATTTACGCAGCAGTGAGAAGGAAAAGAATATAAAACACATTTAATGTCACATTCGTGTCGTGTTTATTCTGTTTGTTTGGCTGTTTATCCTGATAGAATCACAACCAGGGACAGCTAGATGTCCTGAACACTTTATATCTGCTTTATTTCTTTACCTATGCAGCAGTGTTTATCTGTAGAGTGCCTATTAAAACAACAACAAATAAACAGATACATTAAAAATTAACAAACAAACCACAAAAAACACAGACTCCATGGAGCCACATTTAAGTAGTTTTCATCCCAGGCAGCCATACAGGAAGCGTTCTGTTGTTCATGTTTAAGCAGAACTGACAGAGGTCAGAGGTAACTGGACACTTATTACAGTCGTGTAGTCTGAGTCTCAGGAAATGGAATTTTATTTGATTATTACTTTGTGAGACTTTTTCTTTTAACACCAATTTATCTGACAGCACACGTCACTATAAGATTAAGATTTTTTACCACCTAGATATTGTTTAGATGTTAGCACATCAAGAGTTTAGTAAGTTTAATACTGTGTGATGCAGTAGTTTTCCATTGTTGCTCTCATGTAAAGTTAAGCTATTTGAATACCTTTCCCACCAGAGTATCGATCTGTCGTACTGCAGATGTGTCTGCAGCAGAGGTTGAGGGTGAAACATGAGATCAGGCCTCTCACGCAATACTTTCCAGGACTGGAAAGTGACATTCCTACAAACCTTGTCCCCCCTACTGTAAGAGCTACTGACACTTTTACTAAGGAGCACAGGAGCTGGTTGTGTTCGAGGATCAGGTTTATGATGAAGCTGCAAAAACAGCCGACTACAGCATCAACACAACTGAACATACTCTTTGGATTTGCATTGTCATGCTTTTATCAGCACATGTCTGTTTTTCACTCAAACCGCCACCAGAGGGCAGTCTTGGCTTTCATTTGACTCTTGAGGCCAGAGTTGCAAAACATCGATATGGAGGTTTTACCCTGAGCGAAGCTTCCCAGGCTGCGTGCTGCCTGTAACGAGCTCTACCATTTACATTCTGTAGGTTAGGAATGGTTAAACGTTTGGGTTAACCGGTCTCAGTAAAGAACAGCAGGATTTGGTGGTCTGAGCGAAAGGTGTTCCCGAGAGGCCGAACTCAGGGTGAAATCATCCCACTAAATGCAAAAGAACAGAGCCTGACCATAAACCACATGCGGCCTGTCATGTATTGACTAATACTTCATTGTGCATGAATGGTTGCCGTGCACGTTTTTTGAGTGGTTGGCAGAAACGACTGTAATAATTAGTTTGTTTCATGATCAGTTCTTTATAATCTGGATGTAATGTTGGTGTCTTTGTGACCTAAAAAAACAACACACAAACAAAACACATCTGTGTGATGTTGCATAATAAGGCCTGTTTTACAGTTTGTGAAAGGAATAAAGACTCACACACAGAGCAGCATTTAGGGTATTTTTACTGTATTATTGAATAAAATCTATAAAATATTTCACAAAAAAATACAATACATTATTAATTATCATCAAACTCATCCTTCAGATACATTTATATCATAATCAGCATCAACAACATACAGCTTGTGCTTTACAGACCCTCCTGACACTCTGTACTTTCATACAATTATAAATAACACTCGCAGCTTTCTGCTTCTCATATTCAGTCCTGTCAGATAGATTATGTAAATGGGAAAAGAAAAACAGAGAAGTATATTTATATCACAGGCTGAAATCCAACAGATTCACACTGTGTTTCTGTGCAGAGCCATTAGGAGCAAAAACAAGTTGTTGTTGGAGCAGCAGTGTGCTCCCCGTACATCAATCTTGCTCCTCGTACATCTCACGCGATTGGTCGGTAGTCTGAGTCTGAGCAAAACAAGCTCTAAACTCCTCCTACTGAACAAGTGACGCAAGCGGCTTCCTCCCACCCCTCCTCCTCCTCCTCCTCCTCCTCCTCCTCTTATTTTTCCCTCCTGGCCCTCGCTGCCTCCTCCTCCCTCAGCTAGTTCGCTGTCAGCCTGTCAGGATACATTAAGCTCATATGCCACTAGTTGTTCACAGAGCACAGAAAAAGGCAGAGAAGAGGGAAGAGAAAACGGTGATGGTTCTGGCTTTCAGTGCTCTGTATAACACCTCGCCACAGTTCTTAGGTTTTTATCAATGAAGCTGGAGCTCAGACAACCACAAAAAAAATTAGGTTCAGTAGTAAGGCACGTTGTCGACATGAGACGAGAGATGGAGATGTGGACGGATCACTTTGGTCTGACAGGAAGTCATTGGAGTCCATTGGATTGGATTTTCAGCCGAGTTAAAAACGATGAAATAAACAACACAAAATGATTTCTATCAGTGACAGACAGTCCATGGCTCACGGTGTAAAACAGGAGTGTCCAGGTAAACCAACAACAAACAGACATCAGGAGGTAGAACAAGAGTAAACCACAGATAGTGAAGGTCGAACGTCTGCTTCATCGCAGTGCTTCACTCACTGTATCTCTTCTACTGGACAGGTGATTGGAGTTTTTTCAGGTAGAAACACATATAAAACCGCTTTAAAAAAACTCCTAACATTACAATAAAAATTCATACCATCATGGCCATAAAAATACATAGGCTTCTGTTATCATTTACAATTCTGAGACATGGCAAAGTTTCCCTGATTGTTGACTTGAGGCGATCAGCTCCTCAGTCAGAACCAGACTGGGATTTACATTACTGTAAAATACATGTTTTATGCTGCGTGTTTGCATTTACCGTGAATACAAGCTGCCGAGAAGGATAAACGGTTTGCATCAACCTCGTGGTGTAGTAGATTTCTTATACAGGCTCTGATAGTTTGTGTCAGAAGAAGCAGTAGACATGGCAGCCAACACACTGACAGTCTTAAAGGTCGTAAAGGATCTAAATTATAAGTTACACTCACACCCAACCAAAAGACTTTACATACAAAGAACAAATAATATCTGCTGCAGTTTGTGGTTGATTTTTCATTCATAAATAAGAATAATATTAGATAAAAGGCGATCCAACAACAACTTTACCCTTTCTCTACCGGGGGAAACAAGAGCTCATCCATTCCTTCCAGCTTCTTCCGATGCGTTGCGAATGTCGCATTCATCTCCGGGGACTGGAAGCTTACTTCTTTGGCTGGTAAATCCCCAAATTCAGTCACATTCTTGTTTTCACAAGCCAAATAAATATACAGACTGTCCACCCTCTGACTTTTGGCTGATTTTAGTTTCTAGTTTAAATATCCCACGTAGACCCATTAAAAACCAGTCAGTCTCACAGACTGAAAAAGGAAACCCGGGCCTTTGGCCTCCTGGCTGACTAAAGCACGCCCTCTTAAGTAATTGAAGGGATTTCAATTAATAATCAACCAAGGTCTGATCTAACAGCCTGACTGGCGCACAAACAAACGGCAGCTCAGGTGCAGTGGATTCACTCACAGAGCTCCTTCATAAAACTTAATAAAACAGGAGAGAAAAGTGGCACAAACACTGTGAGACTGGACATTTAAGGTTCCATCTGCATTTACAGGTTCACCAAATTAAGCAATACCCACCTTAGACACTCTTACACTGTTATGAAGCATCAATATGTGCTATCTAATCCTGTCTGTTACAACACAAACCGACTCTGTCTAGGCATGCATTGTCTGACTTTTACTATTCACCCACTACTCAAACTGCAGATCTGTTTCCTGCTACTGTCGCTGCACAAATTCGTCTCTTTTGTTGAATGTCAGGAGTAATTTTTATTAGATAAAATGTAATTCTACTGGGACTTCTAAAAATATCCATACGTGCCTTCACACCACTTAAAGTGTGCTCAGACAGTTATAACAACCAGAAAAACAGTGTAAAAGTGTTTAAGAGTGGAAGTTTCATTTATGTTTCTTAATCTCATGAACTGGATTCTTAATCCGCTTTAATAAATATTTCATGTCTAATTTGAGGCACAAGCTCATGTACATAACTCAGGATGTTGGGTGGCTCCTAACAACTGAGTTACGTGCACAAGAATTAGTGTTTATTCTACCTGAAACTAGCTGAAGCTTTAAACATATCAGATGGAGCCTTAAAAACCCAACGTCAGTCCTTGTTCCCCGACCACACTGTCGCCGTCTCTGCAACTGTGATCAGGCTCCAAATTCTTGATTAACCAAGTGCAGTAAATGTTCAAGAGTTCGTCTTGGCGATCAAGACTTTACCAGAATCTCCATGATGTGGTCCAGCTCATTCAGGTCCGTCAAACACGACTGGAGACTCCCAGCTGAGGCGTGGCTGGACGAGCGCATTTTAACGTCCTCGTCTGCCCAAAGCGAGACGCTGACGGGCCACAGGGAGCCCGCCGACCAGGCGGAAGGCAGATCTGAAGTCTCGTACATCGATGTGTCAATGTCCTCGAAGATGTCGTCCAGGGCGAGGTCGCTGAGGTAGCCCATGGTGTTTACTGCATCACTAAAAGCGTTCACCGTCGCAGCAGGAAGGGATTTCTGCTGCTCGGGCGAGCTGTTTGCCTCCTGAGAGGGGAACTCTGGGGACAGTGGCGGAGAAAGGTTGTCCCCATCGTCCTCTGCACACCCAGGGCATGTAACCGGCATGTCCTCCCTGAAGTCGTCCCTGAGAAGGCAGGAGTCAGTGTGGACGCCGTCGCTCTGCATGTCCTCCTGGATCTGCTTGAGCGTGTTGATGAGCAACACGGAGCGCCGCAGACTGAGCTCCACCCCGGCCTGGTAGTGCTGGAGCTTCTCCAAGCAGAGGCCGAGCACCAGCTGACGCTGCTGCAGGTGGGTCATGTCGGATCTGGACGGACCCACGAGGAACCCGTCCTCGTTCTCCTTGTCTTCCTCCCCATTCTTCTCCTTCTCTGCAGCAGTGGGGAGCGTCTCAGCCTCCAGCTCCTCCAAGCAGCTCCACTTCCGTTTCACACCGCGACCCAACATCGACCTACATTAACAGACAGACGGCCAGTTACAGTCGATGTACGATGCATTTAAAAGACTGCAGCTAATGTTATATTACATCCCAGTGGTTCAGTGGTTTTATGCAAAACAGCAAATTTCTCAGGTTGAAAAATTGTAGTTCAAGTTAAGTTACCCTTTATTGTATTTATTGCTTTATTGCATCTCATTACTAGGAGCAGTGGGCAACCATCGTGCAGCAATGTGCAGCGTTATCAACTCTTTTAGAAAGACTGATCGAAGGCTGCAGCTAACAAATTTCATTTTAATTTATTAATCTGCGGGTTATTATGTTATTGTGTTATGTGGTTATGCCAACCAACAGTCCAAAACCTAAAGATATTCAATTTACCGTCAGAAATGACAAAGTAAAGCAGTAAAAAACGTCAAATTTAAGAAGTTTGAACCAGAAAATCACATTTTTGCTTTAAAAAAGACAGAATTTCTAATCGTTTATTGAAATACCCTTTTTTTTTCAATCGACTAATCAATATTTTCCTGCCTTCAACTCAATCAGACATAACAAAATGACAGAAAAGACCTAAAGTAAGAGACACTAAAGCTAACTATTATTTTCATCATGGATTAATGTGTGTGTGTGAGTGTGTGTGTGTGTGTGTGTGCGCGTGCGTGTGTGCATACATTGTCTATGTATTATTGAGTGTTAACTGGTTGTGTGTGTGTGCAGGCAGTTATAATCAGGACTATATATGATGTGTATAAGTCATTTTAACTGATTGATTGATTGAACTTTCCACTGGCAGAAAACAGAAAACAGTAGCTGAGGTTAATTTTGGGATCAGTGAGACACATTCAGGATCACACCGGGCTGCAATGTCATGTAATAAACCCTCACATCCAGTTTATGTAACAGCACCAACCCAGCAAACATGGCTAGTTTCCCCCATTCACTGTCAATTGATCCAGAAATTGATCTCCTGACACCAGAAACAGACCTGTGCTCAAACTGTTGAAGTTCACAAGGTGGAGGTTTGAGGTTTTATTCTCCATAAAGTGAACATTATGACTGCTATGACTCACTGAGAGACACCCCTGCAGGCTGAAAGACTTTACTCATCCATTCAGACATGGGTTAGTTCGTTAAAGATCTCTGTCTCTCAAATGTTTCCCTAAACAGCAGATGGGCAAACACATGAACCCCCATCCAAAGAGAGTTTGACCCCCACCTGAGGAGACTACAAGCTGCTTTTTAATGATTTAATACAGAGAAGAACAACCGAATAAAGTCAAATGTATACGATTAAAGCACTTATTCCCACAGTTTCCTGTCGTTATAGTAGTAAAATAAGAGAATAATGTCCCTCCATCCTACTTCTTCTGCCCAAGAACCCCCACAAACCCCCTTCACGGTCCCCGGACTACAGCTGGGAAACACCAGCTCCGTTTTAACTTAAAAACGGCTCAAACTTGAGGACGTTTTTAAACTGAATAAATGTTTTATAAAAAACATAAAAACAAACCTTACGTGTTCTTCGAAAGTGTCATGAGGTGTGTGGATCCGTCGTGTCGTCGCTTCGTTTCGTTCCGCCGCCGCGTTCCGCTGCTGTCGAGCCGCAGGAATATGAGGAATGTTCGGTCCATCCAGCGGGGGGAGGAGGCGGAGGACCGAGGAGGAGGGCGGGGGTTAGTGGGGGAGAAGAGCCGGAGCGCAGGAGCTCCTGGGCGGCTGTGATTGGTCCGTTCGCCCGCTGATCAAGCCTCCGCCTCCGCCACTCACGGGGCAGCGAATGTGCGGCCGCTGCGTTCAGGGACGGCGCGTAAAAATCAGGCACACACATCGGAGCACACGTGAGAGGCGAAAACTAGTCAATATGATCTGGGGGATTTGTTTTATAACGGATTTATTTAATTAATTAATTAAGTATGACTTAATATGTTGATCAGTAGTGATTAATACACATAGACAGTAAAACTGACTGCAGTGTTATTAACTCTCTAATACAGACTGGGCTAAAGCTGCAACTAACCATTATTTACATGATCGATTCATCTCACGAGTATTTTCACAATTAATCGATGAATTGTTTAGCATAAAAAGTCAGAAAATTGTGGAAAAATGCTCATCACAATTCCCTAAAGCTAACCAACAGTCTAAAAATCCTCAGATTTAAGAACTTCCAACGAGAAAGGGTTTCACATTTTTGCTAGACGTGAACATTGAACCTAGTCGATATGATTGGGAACATTTTTATTATAACAGGGATCTATTTTGCCTAAATATTAAAGTATGACTGAAAATCTTGATCAGTAGTGATCAATACACACTAAAACTGACAGCAGCCTGCAGTGTTATAATCTCTAACACTGACTAACGCTGTAACTAACCATTATTTTTGTTATCGATTCATCTAACGAGTATTTTCACAATTAATTGATTGTTTAGCATAAAAAGTCAGAAAATTGTGAAAAATGCTCATCACAAGAGTCCAAAGTGACATCTTGAAATCGCTTATTCTGTCCAACCGACAGTCCAAAACCCAAATA